ACGTCACAAAATTGATTTTGACAATATTGAAATAATCCAGAAAAATTTAAGAAATCACAAAGAACGTCTAATATCAGAAGCACTTCATATCAAATGGAATCCAAATTTTCAGAATAAGAATGCTGGACTGAAACAGAATTTGACCTCTCCCCTATGAAATGACGTTGGTGACACAGCGGTTAGGACTCTCGCCGACCATGCACATGGTCCGGGGTTCGATCTCCTGCCGATGCACACCCGAAATCAATGGTCGGCCTGCTAAATTTGGGCTACCGATATCACATGCTGAAAATTCCACACTTGTATCAAAACTACGGTGTGGAATCAAGCTATAATTAAAAAAAAATCAACACGAATGTGATAAGCAATTTCACTGTGCTGCTTTTATAATTTTACACACTTATCAAATGCAACAATCTACACCTGGTTTTGTTATCTTTACCAATTGACCAACTTGACAACGCAAAAATGCCCCCGTGCTGAGGAACGATGATTAAGTTGTTATATATAAGCTGGGATTTTGTAAATTCTGGTTTAATAATACTTTGATAAAGCTATTAGCATTAAATAGTGAAAAGTCAGTAAAAACAATATCGTTTTGTTTTTCATTCATTGGGAAATACAAAAAACCTTTATTATAATGAAGGTTAAGTATAAAGATTATAAAACATTTTCAGCTTGTAAGCACCCTCATTGTCAAGATATGGAGATAAGTAGGGAAACTTATGATTGCGTTGGTGGCACAGTGGTAGAATGCCCGCCAACCACACCTCATGTGGTTCGGGGTTCGATCCCCAGCCGATGCCGCACTCCTTTACCTCGCTAAGCTAGCAATAAGACTGGTAAAGAGGGGAGTTTGAGCATGAGGCTAGCAACTCCATCCCGTAAAATTAAACACCACTGCTACCGAAACTTCAAAGCTCTAGCTTGAAACCCTGTGCTCCACTGGGAACGTAAAGGAATAAAAAATATATATTACTGAAGCCTCAAAGATTAAACCATCAAAATGACAGTTAACTAGAAGAGTACCTTGTAATATATTTCATGTCTACCTTAGGTGTTTTTAATAATTAGTAAGCAATACAAATCAATGGTTATAAATGTAATTCTACTCTAAAATAAGCCGAATCTATTCTATAAAGTTTTATTGCTTCATTGTTTTCCAGTTTAAAAGATCGTTTACCAAAAGAATATATCAAATCAAAGGGTATTGAAAAAAGAATATTAGAGGTAAGTCCTATTTTTTTTGATTGCTTCTTTTATGCATAAGATACTATTGAGGTGGAACTGATTTGAGAATAGCGACACTTTTAATAACTGTTCCATGGAGAGTTTTAGTGTGATAAACCTCCAGCTGATGTAGGAGATAGTTTTAAAGTCATTGAAGTGGTTTTTTGTAATATTTGATAAACACAATTGGTTTTTTGTATTGGGTTTGTGAGAATTTCATTGATTCCGAAGTGGATTTAGTCACGATCGAGATCAGTTAGTTACGGTGGCACAGTGGTTAGGACTCTCGCCGACTATGCACATGGTCCGGGGTTCGATCCCCTGCCGGCGCACACCCGATATCTATGGTCGGCCTGAATTTGGGCTAACCGATATCCATGCTGAAAATTCCATACTTGTACTGAAAATACGGTGTGGAATCAAGCTGTAAATCAAAATAAAAAATTAAAAAAAAAAATGAAATCATTAAAAACTAGGAAGCACTTTTTCTGGTTTTAGAACTCTTCAGCAGCACGTATCCATGATCTCAACAAGAGGCAATAAGATCTGCAGGTTTACGAGGCAAGCACCTTGACATTTAGCCATCAGGTTCGAATAGAGTGGCACACTGTTTAGGACTACTGTCAATTTGCTTTATTATAATGACACTGTAATCTTATGTTATCGGCAAGTATCTATATACTGCACTGGTCACAACCTTTTCATTAAAAGTCTAAGAAGTTCATCTCGTAGTCAGTCATCAATGACCGTTGAGTGAATTTTCTTTTGTTGTGTTTGTGAGGATTCTACGTCAATGCCAGTCCA